GAGGACAGGAGGGATGGGGAGGAGGAGAAAGGAAGAACAACACAAGATAAAAATCATAAAAGACAGAAGCAGAGGGATGGTGGTCAAAGCAGGGACACAGCCACATGATGTGTATTAAAATCAAGCTGCCGAGTGCAGCAGCCACAGGAAATGAGTAAGCACAAACCATCTGGTAGGCAGAATAAAATATATGTGTCTATGTTTCATTATAACATAAAACATTACCACTTCTTTTACCATACTTTATGGAATAAATCCTTTTTGACTGATTAAAAAAAAACCTTGACTTAAGACTGGCATTAAATTATAATAACTAATAGCTTTGGATATATGTCATTGTTTACTAATCTTAACACAAAACAAAAGCCAAATTGCTAAAAAAAATCTCAAGGGTTGTTTCAACTGACATGGCCATGAGTAGATACTTTTATTTTAAACCATTCTTCTATTCAGTTCAGCTATGGGTGTCATTGTGCAAAGAGCACATTCAAAACCAGCAGAGCATAAGAATAAATGACTATATGCAACATTATAGTCATATTTTGTACGATTGTCTTTGAAACCACTTTTCTTTCTATGGTGTAAACGAGGCTTCTTTGTAGAATATTTTAGCAACCACAACCATAGGCAGATAGACTATTGCAGAAAAAGCAGCACTTAAGAGGATAAAGCAGGTTAAGTCATTTTTATAACTCTTTTATCTCATTCAGCTAAGGCCACTTTGTGGTAGGTGAATTACAGATACCACACTATAAGCAAAGCATATGGCATCTAAATGTACTGTTAGATATATTAAATGAAAGAGACCAATGCAGATGTAAGAGAGAATTTTTGCTTGGCTACAATTATAGTTTTTTAAAATTTGAAACCTCTCTGACATACCTTGATGTCGTCAAATAAGAATGTTATAGTTTTGTATACTCACCCGAGGACAAGAGGCTTTTGAGGAAAGAGAAGTTCTCGCCTATCTTGTCGAAGTCAGGTAGAAGTTTGACTATTTCTTCAATATCTGGTAGAGCTTTGGTCAGTTTATCTGTGGATACAAGAGACAATATGGCAAGTGAAAAAACACTAAAAGTTGGTCAGTCTTATCTCACAATGCATTGTTGTGCAGGTTTTTTTTATGTATAATGTATAAAAAATGGTCTCTGTTTTTGTAACTAAACTCAGGGATTCTTTACAATGAAAAAAAAACACATGAAATACAAATTGTTTTTGAATAGTGAGATAAAACTTGAAACACTTACCAAGATCAATTTGGTTACTCAGTTCCCAGACGAAATCGGGAATGACCCAGTTGTATTCACTAAAATCCGGCAGCATATCCTTCCACTCCTCATAAGTCTGGAGATAAAATGACAAACTTTTGTTATTTTCATTGATGAATTGTTTGTTTTGATGGTTTCAGACTGCAATTACAGCTAGTGAAGGCTGTCTGTTTTTCATTTGACAGGTTTACAACTCTCTTACTAAATAAAAATGTATTAGAAACACTGAATATTTACCTTTTTAGCAGTATAACCTCCTCCCACTGCCGACCCGAGCAGAATGTATCGGAGCTTCAGCAGTCGGGCAGCGAGACGAATCGCCCAGAAGTTGCGCTGCTGCTGGTGGCCCCGGCCCCCAGACCCTGGGGGAGGCTTGGGGGGCCGCATGGGCAACCGTGACATGGAGGTAAAGTAGCGTGCTGCTGCGCGATGAGGGGGCCGCTGGGGGTTGCTGTTTCCAGAGTAACGGTGGTGGATGGCACGGGACAGAGGGTGCAGCTTCTGCAGCGGCACCCGAAATCTCACCCCCATGTTGGTGGAGACCAGGTTCCTGCAGGCCATGCTGAGATGACAAAAATATGAACACAAAAATGACCAAACCTCATCTTCGTCATGTGCTTATTGCATAAACATCATAACCCCTGAAAATATAGTCACAGACGAAAAAGTAATCCCAAGGCAGTTACTCGTCAAAGACATTAAATTAAATTATACTCTCAAGAGAATATTTTACAGGACAGAATTGTGATATTTTGGAACAAGACAATCTAAAGCTTGTATCATTAGTACATGTGTTTGCTGATGAAACAAAAACAGAAGAAGTAGCAGTTGTAGGATTAGCTAAATATAGCACTATACACTAAAAGTTCTTAATATCTAGCCTGTAAGCCATCATCAGTCCTAAAGTAGTGAATTGAACCAGCCCATGGAATACTGTAACAGAGAGAAGCAACTGATAAGTGCCATACAGTACATAGTTAAGTGAATGTTGATAACAGGGAGCTTATCTTTGTTCCCAGGGTCCTATGTTCCCCTGCTCAATATACCTCAAATAAGACATATATATTAAGGACACATTTAAAAGGGTTTTATATTCACAGCAATGTTTTCCATTCCATGTTCAATGTATGTTTCCCTCTGTCAATATTTTAACATCATCCACCTACACCTACTGATGTTAACTCTTCTAAAATAGGACCATACCTGAATGAATCTTTAAAATTGTAAATTATTTTTGAATCGTCAATGGACAATCCATTATTGGTTATTTGAACTGCAATCCACCCCTTACAATGTTATTTTATAATATAGGTAAGTGAGAACACAGGGATGACCCCAAGTTACAACGTGTAATGTCACCAATAGACATTAAATAACACTGCAAAATCCATCAAGTTCAAGGTATATTACCATTATAATGTTAGCTAAACAACCCGTTATAGACGCATGTCAGCTTAAGTGATATTAGTCTGTAAATCCACATGTGACTCAATAGGATAAACCACAGTACCCTAACACCGGGTTAGCTAGCTTGGTTAACTGGCAAACATTAAGCAGCGTTAAATAAACAACAGCGGCACATTTAGCTTATCAGTAATAGTGCTGATAGATTATGGAGAAGTTACAACAACAGAGACGTCTCTGTTCTCTGTTGAGAAGCAGGTAGCTAGCTTCACTGTCCTCCTCAGCTGTCAGAATGACCAGCTAGCAGCTGTGTGTCTTTCCTTCTACACAGCTAACACACTTAGCTTTAGCTGCCGTTTCCTTTATTAAATGTGAACTTACCAGGCAGCTTTATCCCCGACACGTAGCATGGTGCTGTTAGCAACAGCGGGTAAACACAAATCTGTTTCAAACTCACTCTTTATGTACAACTTAATTCATCTTTCCAAATGGTAACATTTGCTTGCCTGTTATGGAAGCCAGTTAGCACTTAAGCTAACAAGGACACAGCAAGACTGACAGTCCACTTCCTGTACACGGTGCTACATTCAAATCAGCACTGACAGAAAATGCATCAATTAAAGAGTTCCTATGTTTAGGTTCGCAGTGCTTGCTCAAATGTAGCCAACATTAAGGTAATCATGGTTTACTGTCAGCCGATGCTTTTAGTTTGTAACATCAGAATGGAAGGACATATGGGGGTCACAAATACAAAATGTTGAGGGCTACCTGTTAGTCGGGACATTTGCAACTGAAATACAGATAACATTCAGATGTAATGTCATTTATAAACAGGTGTAGCTGTTGTGGATAATTGAGATTAAATATGTTAACTTAAGACATTAGCCTATTTCAATGATTAAAATATGTAAAGAAATGTCTGCAACCTGGTTTATAGGCAACATGTTGCATGTCTCACAAATGTAATGTGTGTCAGTGTCAAACTTTCCCTTTTACAGGACATCCAATGTATGCATATTTTCTCCAGCCTTCTGATATATTAAGGATTTAATGTATAAGAAAACTGGGAAACCAAGTTTAATTTGGTGGAGACCAAATTAAAAGAGGTGACTCAGGAGAAGGACGACCTGGCCAAGAAACACCAGAGCAGGGAGAGTGAATTGAAAGAGGTTCAGTTTAAGTAAAAAATGGTCGAGGATGAGGAAAAGGACTCGGCCAAGAAGAACCAGAGCATGGAGAGGGAAGTCAAACTGTTGGAGACGAAAGTCAAACAGTTTGAGGAGGAGATGAAGGAGCAGAAGGAGATGTTCTCCAATGACCTGGTCCAGAAACACCAGAGCTGGGAGACCAAGGTTCATTTGACGGAGACACAACTGAAACAGGTACAGGAGCAGAGGGTCAACCTGGCTCAGAGACGTCTGAGAAAAAGATGGAGGAGGAAAATAAACTTCTGGAAGACCTCTGTCTTTACATGAAGAGCAAGAGAGGTTTCTTCTCTCGCAGGAGGGACACTGAGTATAGAGACGTCATCTTGCATAAAATGCTAAGCAAGATGCAAGAGAAGGAGATGAGGAAGAAATCAAGGAGAGAGGAAGCTGAGGCGAGAAACAACTCCTCAGAGGAGACGATGGAGAAAAGGGAGGCTACTGGTGAATCAGCTCCGGCTGGACAACAGTAACTCCATCCCTCCGGCCCCTACTTCCCTCCTCCATTTTCCCCTCCTCCTACCTCACCCCGATTCACTTTTTGCTCAGATAGGGTTTTCTCCTGTTTTATCAGGTTTTCCAGCAATCCATATTACAAAGGACTAAAAAAACATCCACACTAAATCGCTCCTCTATTTACCTCACCCCTCTCCCTCCCTCACTCCAACCTCCACCCCACAATACAATTAGGATTAGAAAGACTTGATTTAAAAATAAAATACAAATCTGCTTTATGTGTGCCTCACTGTGTAAACATATACAGTATGAAGTATTTACTGTATCACATTTTGGTTACTAAAGTACTTATATTTATTCATTGTATATTTCATAAATAAAACAACCCATGGTATGAAATAGAAAATGGTGTATTTAAATTGTATACACAATGTATGCCGGTGTTACAGCAATATCAGATCAGCTGTTCAGGGCCAAAGCATTAACCATCATGTGACGTTTAGGGCCGTTTGCAGCACGTCAGCTGGCGCTATGATATATTGTGTTCCATGGCATTATGACAAGTTGCATTCCACCACTTAAATACATACTTTGCTGTAGCTTCTGCAGTATAATGGTATATCCCATTCATGCACACTTGAGACAAATTACTCGTAGACAGGCTAAAGACCGTTTTGAGAACATTTATTGAAAAGAAAGAAGTCAAGATCAATCTGAAATACAATCTTCAGGGAGAAAGAAATGAAGATAAATAAAAAATAAATTATTAAGTACAAAATTCTCAAAAAATGTACATATCTCTGCCAATAAAAAAAATACATATACCCCAGATTAGCCTCTTGTTGAGGTGCGGGAAATGGAAAGCACATTAGATAAACTGTACGGAACGAGCGGATATACAGATGGACCTAAACGTTTCACCAACAGTATGTTTTCATTCAGTTTGGGTTTCAACTTTTATTTGCTTTATAATTACAAATAGACACATTTCCCTGAGGGAACATCCACATGAGTCTTTATACAGTATAAGTGGCTGACTCAATCTAAATGCCATTGATGGTTTGTTTCAAATACTGTACATGATGCGAGTAGGCGGCCAACTGTCAACATTCGGTATATGTTGTACCTTTAGAAGAGCGTAGAGGTTTCAGCATAAAAGCCATTGCTGTGTCAGAATAAAAGGCGTAGCGTAGAACACAAGCAATACTAGTATTTACACCTCATGAAATTGTTTAATTGTCTGTACGAAGGTGCAGTTATGACTCAGCTCAATCATTTAGGCCCTAGCAGCAATATAGTAACTTTTACAATAGACAGCTGATGTAGAGCAGCAATGCACATTCTTTTTGCCAATTACAATTTAATGTTATGGATGCAAATGATCTTTAAAAAAATACTAGAGAAGAAAAAAGAAATACGTTCATTGGATGATCAAACAGAAAACTAACAAGATTGTCAGATGTTCTGAATTTGCTGATGAGCACGAAATTACAACAGTTTAATTCCCTGTCAGGTCCTTAAATGTATACAAAGCAATTAGAGAAAACAGAAGCAAAAGCAAAACTGATAAGCAAATGTACTTTAAAGAATCTGCAGAGATAAATGTTTCTACGAAGGACTCTAAACTCTAAAGTAGACATGTGCTGCTTTATATTTTAACCAATACTTAAGTTCCCCTCTAATACTTCACATTGAATGTTTAAAATTGTGAAATAAATGCCCAGAATTCATGCCCAAAAAAGGAAGAATAAAGCTAATGCAACTCCATAGCAACATTTTAAACAGAAACAAATCAAAGACAGTACAAATCAAAAGTAGACAGACAACTGATTGAACACAGTACCAAAATAGTAGAAAAACACACCAGCCCTTTGATAATCCAAAAACAAACATTGATATAACTAAATATGTTGTACTTGTAAGCACACACTAGAAATGTACATCTCATATATACAGATAGAATCCAACATCTCTATTATTATTATTATTATTATTATCACCTTTTTAAGTCCACTTTTCTGCTGGACAAATCAGATTTGACAGAACTAAACACAAGCTATACGTTCTTTTTTTTTTTTAAATAAGCAATACAAATGTAATTAAAAGTCTTTGGAAAAATAATCAATAGCTATTGTATTGCAATACAATAAATGTAGTCTTTTTTTATACAACATTCAGTTTTAGCTTCAGTAGGTATCAAAAGAAGAAAAAAAGAAACCTGAACTCAAATATAAAACTGAGAAAAGCCACTGATAATCCAGAGGCATAGAAACCCATGTTGTTGACAACATATCAGAATCTTTCTGCAAATTGGCACAAGAATGTCCATTTGAGCCATGTTATGCATTTTTACAAGTTTCATCTATAGTACTATATATATATATATATATATATATATATATATATATATATATATATATATATACACACACACACACACATATATATATATACATATATATACATATATATATACATACATACATATACATATATACACAGGTATCCTTACACAATGTACCCACTACATCCTATAACAAAATACTCTCATCAATTAAACAATGTATCTGTGAAAATTAAAAGCACACATTTGAGCTTGTCATACAAAATGATGGATCCCAAGTTTCATGTGCATTTGTAATAAATATTACAAGCATCACAATAGACAATGGCTTTAAGGAACTGCGCAGACTTGTTATTGTGGATATTGAGGAAATCTGTTGATCCATCTTTGCTTTAAAGTGATACTCCAGCCTAAATCTGCTTTTTGAGAATCAAACAATATATTTTGTGGCTTTAAAGGTTGCCCTGAAAGCTTTTTCTCCTCCTTGAAGTAGCTGTGGTCAGCTTTAATTCAATTACAGTACAGTCATTTCCATTGCTACCAATTGTAATTGCTGAATCAAGCAGCAAAATGCAAACTAAAACTGCTCAAACAATTCCAACCATTTTTTAAGCTTGGTGTGCCATTATTGTAATCTTCAAATAAATGTACAGTCAAGTTTACATTGAATAATGAGCAACCCACTAATACAGCCACCTTCAAGATGCACAAGGAGTGAATGTTTGTTACTCAACTCGATTTCTGCGAGTATCCCTTTCAACATCAAAGTTAAATCAGTGAACATAAAAAAATAGCCCTCAACTCTAGGCAGGTAGACAATGTGTAATACATGAATTTGCGTCTATATGGTAAAATACAGAATCCACCATTACCAGCTTTTGTTGGTGCATGGATGTTTTGAATGTGCTGCAAACTGAGGAGATGCAAAATGCTTTGTCCTCATTTACCACCACACTTTTAATCAGTCTTCCATAGGAAGAAATGTGATTTTTATAGAAAATAAAAACAAGTAGCACTGCTGGCTTACTGAGCCAGTCTGACATTAGTTTTGTAAATGTAGGATGCTCAGATTTGTATGGTCTCATGTATGTGCACTATCCATGATAACCAACCAAATTCATGCTGTTCTTGTGCAGATTCATTTGATGAAGAGATGTGTATGTAAATACTCCTTCATTTTACAGTAATGCTGTGTCTATAGTAATATTTGTAGTATTGCAATCATCAAGTCTTAAACTCGATCGATAGGAAGGTAGCATCATGCGAGTCTTGTTATGTTTTCAGTCTCAGTCTGATGACCAGACATAGCTCATAGATGCAAAATCACAAGATGTAAAGTGTATAGCCGTGCTGGTGGCTCATGTGAGTAAAATACAGACAGGTTGGCTGATGCCACATTTAAACCACTGATGGGGCAAATGTTTGGCCCAAGGGGAGCGGCAGAAAAAAACTACTTTTAGAATGGTATGCAAGTATAACACGATAACATTTAATATGTTAGCATGCTTTGTTAGAAAAGTACAGTTGAGGAAGTGGAGACTTCAGTTATTAGATTCAAGAATAAGAACCGTTGAATTGACATTCCTTGAAAAGCGCAAATGAAATGTATGCATTTGTTATAGTCTGGTGTTTTTTGCCATTTCTACTGTTCTAAATAATACTATTTTTATCAATGCTCCTTAAGGTAAACTATCCTAATCCTACTAGCTGAAATGTTTTAACTGTTTATGAAACTTCTGGGTGAATAAGAAAAATACAACTGTAGATTATTTTCTGAGGTTCATAACTTTCTAGTTGCAATCATCAATCTGATGTATAACGTGCTGAAGTTTGTGAAAAAGGCTTCCCATTTTAAGTGTTCCTTACTTTTAATGTGAACAAGTTCTATATGTCTGAGGGTTTAAAATAAAAAGGTGGCCGAGTACAACAGCATGATTTGGACATGCAACATTATGGATGATGACTACATTTATACAAAAAATGTAATGTCTCCCATATTTTCAGACCTATTGTGCAGTTTCCAAATCTTAAAAAGCTGGGATATTTCCCATTTAAGTGTCTATACTTTTTTTAAACCTTGACCATTGGTGCTTGAGGCAATCAACATATTCTTTGTGTTTGTCTTTAAATAGGAATATGCCTGAGGTGTGCAATTCTTTTTAATTTTTTTAACTATTTTTCTTTTTGTATTACTTTTAATATAGTATATTTTAATATTGTTTTAATATTGTCTGCTTATCTGTATTATTGTGTTGCATTGTTGGAGAAGCCTGTGACCTAAGATTTTCAATGACATAATTACTCTGTAGCTATGTTAGTTTGACAATAAAGAACCTTGAACCTTGAATTGATCAACAAGTTGACAGAAGCTGATTTAAATCTGCTACAACTTACAGTGAGAGTTGACTATATGATTTCTTGTCTCAAGTTAATAATTTCATGTATCCCTGGGGGTTCATGGTAAGCATAAAAGCTTTCCTTTTGGTTATGGTTCCATGACTATATATAAATTATATAGGTTAGCTGTAAGAGACGACTACATAGTAGCAATCTGAGTATGGTAACTGTGAACATCCTAACAAGTGAGGTTGTGGCTGCTGTGAATTAAAACATACAGAGTGGACTTCAAAACAACCAATAAAGTAATCACTGTTTTGGTAATGGTAGGTCTTACTTTAGAGGGCCAAATTACAACCTAGCGCCTGTTTGATAAATATACTATACTTCTACTTGTTTTTTTAGGATAATTCTCAAAGGCTATGAAGACATTGTTCCAGAACATTTTTGATAGCACGTCAGACGCTAGCTCTGGAGTGGACTTGGAAGTTGACTTGAAAAGGTCAAAGTTATATTAGACCCAGCTCAGACATTGCAATAAGGAAAGAGATGTACATTAATGTTACTGCTGTTTAAATAACAAGCAACAGAGACCTGAGAGAGTGCAAGTGGTTGAGAGAACTGACACTATGTTTTGTAGTCATGTGCGATCATAAGATTTTTGCAGCAATGTCTCATGAACTCCAGCATTAGACTGAAGTCGCTGTGAACCGGAACAACAAGCAACCTTACTGTGACGGTTTCATTCGAATAATTTAAAAGGTGCATTCACTGAACGCGCCTAATATGCATACACTTCTCCTGTAGGTCATGTATAGAGTACACACTGTGGGGGGTGCTAGGAGTTTTTCATGATTTGATAGGTGGATCCATTTTCTGGGAGGGTCTTGGCTTCAGTTGTTGTCGTTGGCTTTGGAGGCCAGTCGGGGTCCACCCTGAGCTCCTGGGCCAGATGCATGTAGCGAGCCTTGGGGGTCATCCTGCTCGGGCAGCAAAGCCGGGTCAGACACTTGTAGTATCGCAGGTCTATACCACCCTGAAAATATCACAACCCCAATAAACAAACAAATAAAACAAAACATACCAGGGAAAGAAGGAAAGGGAGGGATGAGAGATGCCATTAACTGTTTTCATTTTATTGCTCAGGTTTTCTAAAACCCTTTTACTGACAAATGCAAATCTGACAGTATCATGCTAATGCAACCATTGCATTAGGGCTGAACGATATACCGTGTCATGGCGATAACCGCGGTATGCGCATGCACGGTATTCACACCGCAGGGACGTGCGGTTGTATTCATTTTTTTTTTTAAATGCTAACGCACTTTAGCACAGAATTCAAAATAAAGATACCCTTATTACTTATCGAAACTGCACATACAATATATCCGATTAAAGCTGAGACTCCACAGATTATTTAAGTATAGTATCTAAGCGATCCGATCTCGCAACAGGGGAAGCAAACACAGACATCACAACACGTACCTTTTACGGAGCTTTTACGGGAGATCGTCTCACCGTAGCTGTCAATCTGATCAAAAGACGTGTTCAATGGCATTATAACGAGAAAGAAAAAACGCGGCTGAATCGGTTGATCCATAGGTTGATAATGTATATGTGGCTTTGAAGCAATTGTTTATAATCCATAATTCAATTTGTATGTAAAAATCGGATCACAAAAGTTAGCTGCTAATGGTAGCCACCTTGGTGGTATGCAGCTTCCGATTTTGGCTACGCGTCGTCACTCTCACTCCTTATTTGTTCATGTGTTGGTGTGTGTAGAACTTCCCCTGATATTTGACCTTTTTAGACAAATTTAGCACAAAAAACCCCTCTTTTGGGTGGATTTTCCATATCTCTGGCCCACCTTGCTGGATTTTGACATGTGACATCTCTTTCTGACCGTCAGAGCCAATGGAATCGAGGGGAAATCACACAGTCCTTATTTGGTAATGTGTGTGTGAGAGACTTCCGCATAGCCCAGACCGGAAGCAGCAGCCACTCTGGTGGCTACCATTAGCAGCTAACTTTTGCTCTGCGATATTTACATAAAAATGGAATTATGGATTATAAATTAAATCATTTTTTTATACAGAGACGTTAAAAACCTATGGATTAACCGATTCAGCCGCGTTTTTTTCTTTCTCGTTTTAATGCCATTGCACACGTCTTTTGATCAGATTGACAGCTACGGTGATACATCTCCCCTCGAAGCTACGTAAAGGTACGTGTTGTGATGTCTGTGTTTGCTTCCCCTGTCCAAGTTCAGATCACTCAGTGATGATACTATATACCTAAATAATCTGTCGAACCTCAGCTTTAATCGGATATCTTGTAAGTGCAGCTACGATAAGTAATAATAAGGGTACTTTTATCTTGAGTTCTGTGCCAAAGTGCGTTAGCATTTTTCGCTCAGGGGTCATTTAGATGCTTCTTATGAGACTTGTGTTTTGTTTTGGTATAAAATGGTTTGTATCGTCAGTTAGCTGAGATTATTTCCGTTAATCTGGTATAACACATTAATAGGTTCTTAAATATTACGATCCCCTGAGACACTGTCGTGAAAAAAAAAAGTAAAGTACCCGCCGGGACTTTGGGGTTTAACAGGTTAAAAAAAACGCAATATATACCGCGGGGGGGGGGGGGAACCGCGATGTCAGTTTTTTTCAATACCGTGCAGCCCTACATTGCATGCAAACATATTTAACTGGACAGAAGCCATTTGCGTTAAACACAGGCACATTTCTTTACACTGATAACTTGCAACAAATATTTATGCATGCAGGTCATTCCAAATAAAATTCAGCATGATAATAGTTTAAAGGAGTTGGCAGCAGATGGCTTAATGACTGAGCCCACTCCCTAAATCTCATGGAGTCAAAGGTCAACAAACAAAAAAAAGGAGTTCACAACATATTTTACAGATGTTCTCCTTAAGCTTATATATTGGACATTCAAGGCTAGCTGGCTTGGATTTTAAAAACACTGTACTTGAGACCTACTGTACACTAAGAGTGCAGCAAATTGGATTAATACGGCCTTTACCAGCTTGCTAAAGGTGTTAAAGGCCTTCAGCACGGCAGCTTTATGGTGGTTTCTAAAAGTGGCAAGAGCATTACTCATTTACTTCATAATCAAGCTGCAAACCGATGCTTTGCGTTAATAAACTTTTGTATCTCAATTTAAATACAGTAACTACAGTAGCTCTAAGTTTGAAAATAGCATTAAGTTTGACCTTATTTTAAATAGAATATTTGTCTTTAAAAGTAGTTATGAAGTATATCTCAAACACAGAGCCGGAGAATAGAATGAAGTAAAACTGCAACTGTTATCAAGCCATGAACAGCAGAGGGTCACGAGAGGACAGGTTAGAAAGAAACTGATTTCTCGCACATGCACGTCTTGGTTAGTACTAGAGAAAGGTGTGCTCTGTTACTTTAGAGAAGGACGTTGGAACAGAGAGAGGGAACAACACACAAGAGGAAAATGAACGGGCGATGGAAGAAGGTCTCTGGTTTTCCCAACCTGTGGTGTCGGGGCAACAGGAGTGACGCCAAAGCTGCCCTGTTTGTCTCGGCTGAACACAAGCTTCCATAGGACGATGTCAAGGATGAAGGTCTATGGAATAGCGCAGTGGGCAGGGGAAAGAATTAAGGAGAGGCTCATTTGGTTCCTAATATCTTCTGCATTGTCTTTTGCACATAGTCTTTTGTCTTTCTACAATTATTTTTGCAGACCCACCATTTATAAAAGCTTGTGTGGCAACTTTTTCCTTCTATCAAAGGTGTGTTAGTCATTACATGTGATGTTACAATTGAGTGAAACAAATTAGTAAGATAAGCATGGATACTATTGCCACTTAAAACTGAAAAAAGCTATCATTCTTAATTTTGTGCGAATTTCATTTTGGTTATATTTCTGACACACTAAAAACTGTGAAAGGAATATGCAATGTTTAGGAAATAGCATCACCTCGGCAATGATGCTAAGCAATGCATGTATGCAAGGGCAGTCATCTTAAAGGGAAAGCTGACATAGCTATACTGCTCCGAAGAGCAGGGGCAAGCTAGCAATAGATATAAATTGCTGTGCAGTGGCACAGCAATTTCTTTTCTTAAAGAGCATCCATCTATCCAGAGACATGTGCTCAAAATCTGCTTCAAAAGCCCAACAAACTTAAGCAGTTCTGTAAGTGTTAACCATTACAGATACCTTAGTTTGTTTCTTTAAAGACAAGAACACTTAACATAAATTCTTCTCACAACACAAGATTGATCTTGCAGTCCACTAAATGAGACAAATATGAGCACACTGCATGAAAAAACTAAAGCTGAGCATGAGAAAAACACATCAACAGAAACCATGTGAAGTGTGTGTCTTACCTCCATCACAACAGACACTGCAGCATTGACTAAGATGATGAGGAAGAGCTTTACCTTCCAGTCAAACGGGACACAAACAATCTGTAGGCAGAGACAGAAAACAAACACTCCAACGCTGACCATCAGAGAGTATTTACAAGGAGCCTTGTTTTAAGGCTTTATGTGTCTTCATGAACTTACAGAGTAGGACTTTATATAATATCATAATTATAAAAGAGTATAGAGCTTGCCATGAAAAAACAAGATACTGTACAGCAAGCAATATATTTCTTGTGTTTGACATCTTCTTACCTCTAGAAACTCGTCAATGGCTTTTACAGGGTAGAACATGATGAACAGCAGAAAAACATACAGAGTCAAGGCAGACAGCACAAACGGCCCTAAGGAGAGAACACATAGCAAGCACAAACACATTTATAACATATAACAATAACTTTGCAACTATTTTAGGACAGATTTAATAGGAAGTAGGTTTCTTACAATTCTTGTAGCTAGGCTGCCTGAAGGGTTTGCCCTTTGAGAAAACGATGGCAACAACGAGATACTGGAAGGAGGAGACATAAAAGAGGCTGGTGTTCTCGTAGTTCTGGATGTTGTGGTCGTCAATTTCAGTGTTGTTGTGGCCAACATTAATATGTGATGAGTTGTTGCAGGCACTGGGAGAGAGGGGAGATCAATTTGAGAACAATCAAATAACGCTTTCAGGCTGTGGTTAAAATACAGAAATCTAACATTTATGTTTTGATGTTATTTTTGTTTGTGTGAGGTACATGGACTCACTCAGAGAGCGGCGTCCACACTGTGTACCACGGCTGCTGTCGGACCCAAAGGAATGTAATGGTCTGGAAGCCCAAGCAGATGAGGATCTGGGTCAGCACAGAGAACAGCAGAGGCCCTGAGATCAGACCTGAAGGGGGACGACGAGACACCAGGTCTTGCCACGCTGGGTTCAGACTCACTGAAGGTGAAGATGCGCAGGGTGGGTGAGGAGAAGAGGCAGAAAGTAAGATAGAGATTAAGAAAAAGAAAGGGAGTCACACTACACATTACCTTATCCATATACTTACTAGTAAAGACAATAAGAAGGATGATGGCAATATCGATGAAGAGGAACTGGAAGTCTCCAAGGTTACTGAGGATCTAAGAAATAAAAACAGCACAGATCAGAGATGGGATTTCTCCTTTTTTCCCCCTCACCTACCATTGATTGTGAAGCAGCATTACGTACAGAGTAGAGGAGAGTGACACTGATGTACTGGATGATGCTGTAGAGGGCCATGAACTTGAACACACAGAAAGAGGTAATGAGAGCGGCACGCCCCTCCCTGTAAAGGAAAACAAACACTGTGTCATCTCTCCGTGCAACAGAGAAGCTAACATTGTGTCATGTGGCTAAACAAACACAACCTGACATAAAAAGGCCTTTTCAGCAATATGAACAGGTCCAAATAAGGAGGATTTTAAAAGCATGGGTTGGTTTTCTTGTGTTAAAGAATAGGAATTGAATCCATTTTAAAGATGAATACATAAAACAACATAATTGCCTGCCAAATCAATAGCACTTTTCAATCAGTATATTAAGTGTTTATGCATCATTACCACCCCATCTAAAGAGCATACGACAACGATATTGTCCATCTTGGTGCTTTTGAGGTTTCCACTGTCCTATTCATATTTTCTGTGCCCTTTATTTATTGTGTGAAAAAAGAAGTAAAGAAAGACAGACCTGATGAGGCTGGGGACACAGGAGATGTTCGGGGTCTTCGAGGTGAAGGGAGAGGCTACCGAGGCTTCGAGCTCCGACAGAGAGATGCCACCATGAGCCCTCTTCAGAGCCTAATGAGAAAAGTGAGAAAAATGTCCAGAGAGCAATTCATTAAATGTCAAACTCTCATTGTCTCATTAAATGTTACTTTTAAAGTTAATGTACATACCCCACAGTCGTTTGCTCCATCTCCACACATCCCAACAAAGTAGCTAGGAGCAGATAAAGAAGAACAGTGACTTTGTGCTCAGTGTTAACAACTTTTCATAAACAGAAACAATACTGACTCTACCACTGAAGTTTAATGAAGTTGTTTTATTGTAGATAAAATACTTGTCTAAACTTTGGGAGACTTGTCAAAGTATTTCCCATCTCTACATCATGTGTTGGGATTAAACACTCACTCCACGCCCTGCAGAGCCTCAATGAGTTGAGTTTTCTGGTCCGGGGCCATTCTTGCAAACACTGTCCCATGTAGCACCAGCTGCAACGCAGAACACATGATCATATCAAAATAAGTATTAGTTAGCATGGAGGTAGATCATACAGCAGCATGAACTACAACATTTATACTCCAGTTACAGGTAAGGAATAAGTGACTCATTTAAGAGACCTCACCTTTTGAAGCATGTCAGGGAAATGTTCAGAGATGACGGCAAAGGATTTTCCATTCATGGCAAAGTGGTACAGCTCCTGTTTTTTGGGCTCATCTATGTGGCACACATCATCCAGAGTGATGTTCACTTCCTGTTGGTATAATGGAGCATCAATTAGATCCATAAAATATTAACATATCATTAAAAAGTTGCCTCAAAAAACATTAGAGTTGAATCAACCTGAGTGTATTAACATCGATTAAGAATGCTGGTTCGCACAGGTCATATTTTGTCATTTAGTTTACTTATCATTCACTATGTGGACACATTTATTCTTGTTAGCCTCACCTCCAGATGAGATGTCTGGCTCGCCTTGTCAGCGTATCTCCAGGTGATCTTGGCGGCCTGTCCATCATGTGGAGGGAGGGCATCAGCAATGATGACTGTGTCTTGGGGAGGAATCATTCCACAGTCCCTGGCCACAGAAATGGCTGTCAGCATGTTGTCACCTGAATGTGAATACAGCACACATTAATAAATGCACAAGTCTACAGAAACTTGTTTTATAATGATCAGCTAATATAATAATATTTTTTTTGTAATGCTACTCTGCTCTTTCATCTCTTTCTAATTTCTTCTCCATTATACCTTTCTACACATGCATTACAAAGATTCTATCTGATCCACTACTCAACAACCAATATTAGTAAGTCATAAGAATGAGTCAATTGTAGTCTTTAACTGATGGTTAGGTGGACAATGGGAAGAGGAGCCTTTTGTGCTAGGACATTTGAAGAACAAGAGGAGGAAGACTGGTTCTGAAATGGTGCCTTATACTGTTTGTGTAGAATAGGATTCACAAATGAATAACTACATGTATTTTCAGCTTCACTTTGTTTCCTTTTATGACCAGTAAAGCAAACTTTAGAAAATAGTTAAAAAGGTCAAAGTTAAGCAAGGACGTAAAAAACAATTCTGGTGGATATTGGAGTTTGTGCCAGTTACAGTGAGCAGCCCAGAAAAGTTATTAGTCATGATATCGCAGGTGCAGCAGATGAAATAAGTGCCAATACGCAGATTACCAAACCCACCGGCTGCCTGTATCAAATAAATAAAAAAGTTCTGCATGCAATTTGCGTTGGCATATCTGTATGAGTTTTAGTTTGAGACTATAATGGTGCTGTTAGTAGTGGTTTTGATAAAACCTGTGCAAATGTGTCTATGTGTGCATGGCCTCACCAGTAACCATAACAGTGCGGATGCTGGCTTGGCGGAGGTCCTCCAGCACTGCTGGGGTTTCTGCCTTCAGCTTGTTCTGCATGATGATTAGACCCAGGAACTCCATGTTTGCCTCAATGTGATCCCTATTTCAAAGAGAAAGAATAACTTATTTATCATTATGGATAGGTTTAAAATTAAGGTCAAAGGCAATCTTATCAATAATGTACAAAACTCTACCTGCTGATGTTCTGGACTTTGTGCCAGCTGAGTTTGGATTCAAGTCGTCGATGAGCCAGAGCTATGACTCTGAAACCCTCCTTGGTGTAGCCCTCTAAAACATCTGCAAAGTTTTCTGGCACTGCAAAGACACAGAGAAACATTTATGAAGTGAATAAAGCTAGAGAAGGACAGATCATTAATTAAATTCAAATATCTATGGCTTTGTTGGAAGAGAGGTATCATTCAGAATTAGCAACAGTGTTTACCTCATCCGTAGTTTATGTAATTATTGGCTGGAATTGTAATTTTTAAACCATACCGAAAATCAATTTAGCTTATTTAAATATGTTATGCATCTATTCATTTAGTTCAGGGGTGGGGAACCTCCGGGCCCGTATACGGACCGCGAGACCACTTGGCTGTGTCTTTAGTTGTAAGCCCATTGGCAATCTGTCATACTGATCATACAGTCAATAACTTTGTTGTTATTAGCATCTGGTTAGCTAGCTATGCTAACGAATATAAGAAGCTTTTTCTACAACCAGTGAGGTAAAGGCACATCTGTATATGATCATTATAGTTATAAAAAACAAGAGAATAAAGTAAACAGGTATGAAATACTATGTTACCATAAAAAAAAGTTTTTTGTACAAGAATACAGTTTAAAAAGGGGAGTGATTAGTAAAATATCCATAAAGAAAAAGAAAATCTGCTTCCAGTTCTGTTTCATATGGGTGTTGAGAGATGTATTCATAGATCTCTTAATGTTGCTCTCAAAGTGCACCAGATTGATGCTTTTAACTTCAACATTTAAAAAAAAAAATCTTCCCCCTAGAGGAGGTTAGCCCCCCCCCCACTTCAATCATGTTCACATGGATAGGATACTAATTACATTTGCACACATCTTGTGTCCATATCTTTCTGGTCATGTGCATGCATACGCGAGTCATGGTAAGATATCTGGAGGTTGCTTTTTCTTTGCACAGCATGAAAGAAAGGACAAATGAATGGGCTGTGATTTTAGTTTTTTTTAAGCAGAGGTCAATCATTTGTAAGGCCGTCGGAGGGTGTTGAAATGGCCCTTGAGAGGAAAAAGGTTCCCCACCCCTGATTTAGTTAGTTACAATAACTTTGCTCCTCACCTGTGTCTTTCTTGCAGAGGCTAGCCACTATCTCGGGGGCCCCCTTCATGTAGGCGTCCATACGTTTCTCCCCTAGCAGACGAGCCACCACACACATCCTCTGGAGGGCTGAGGAAAAGGGAAACTGGCGCACGATACCTATCTCATGCGCTGACTGCACGTGCACACGGACACAAGGATACACAAAAACAAATACGGTTCTTATTAATAATGTCAAGAAGGACAAGAACATTTAAAATAAAATGTCCATCTTGGAAAATGCGAATAAATGACTTATTGAAAAAAATATATATATAGAAAATGTGTTTGAATACAGCGGGAAAACTCACCGAAAGCTCATACAGCTCCTAGAATTGGAAAAGAGCAGAGTGGGACGAGTCCATGAGAACACAATATGTCAAAACAACCAATACAGTAATAGCTGAAAAATGTTTCTATTAACTGTGTATTACTTATATTGCATTAAGCAGGGTTCGTACGGGTGCTTGAAATCCTTGAAAATGCTTGAAATTTGACGTGGTGTTTTCAAGGTTGGGAAAGTGCTTGAATTTTGGGAATGGTGCTTGAAATTGAGATAAAGTGCTTGAAAATGTAAATGCTTTACTTTTACAATAAATTGCTGTCTGACTGAATAGTTCGCTTTTTAGATTAAAAGAAAAGAATTGCTTCGCTTCTACATAAAACAGCTCTGCTGCGGCCTTCCCGCGCTATGCGCGCAACCTGCAAGTGTTTGTGTTACGTGTGACCTGGGCATTCTGATGAGTGATAGATGACTGTGCCAGGAGGTTGCAGTTTCAACGAGCGTTGGCTAGCAGAAGACAAATACAAGCCATGGCTAAGACGAGGGTCAAGCCCACGAGTAGCCTCCTGCAAAGTTTGCAAAAATATCGATGCGAGAGTCTGCGCTGACGAGCCACATGAAAGGTACGCCGGGGCAGAGCATTTTAGATTAGGCTAACGTGGCATGTTACTTTTGTTTAAGCTAACGTTAGCGAGCTGAATAGCGAACTCGATTGAGGGATAATAATAATTGCAGGGGACAATCATTTCAGAGGAGCGTACCTATGTTATGTGCGTTACAGTCGCCATCCTGTGGTGTTCAGAGGATGCAGCACTCACGGTATTTCGTGTTATAGTCACGAAATATAATCTATTGATTCGACACAGAGCGATTTTGAAAGCAATGTATTTCTACTGGTAGTATGTTTCGTGCCTAAACCAAATGTGACTTGCTCTATCGAAATCAGTCACATTGACCCGAAGACACATTTTCGTTTGTATTACTGGTCTGGGGGAAGCTCGCGCGTGTGTGTTTGTGTACCGGGGAAACACTCACAAGAAACACCGGCTGTTGTTATGCTTGCTGTGATGTTACATTAGTCCGTTCTCTGCTTGTAATTATGCCGAAGCTTCAAAGTTGTATTTATCATCTGAATTTGCCGAAACAAGTTTAATATTCTGAAAGCTAAGACTTTGTTTATTTGAAAACAGATGAAAACAAACTGTGTTTTATATAAAATTGAAGTATTATACAAGTAAAACTACATGTTGCTTTAATCCCATGTAATTGTAGAATGAACACAGTCTTCCTTTGAAGATGTATAAGTCAGGTGTCTTGAGTAGCATTACCTACAAATCATTGTACACATTTGTAGATATTATTTTCCACTTGTTACCATTGTGAGGCTATTTTTATGCAGCTCTGCGTGATTTTGTGGCTACAATTCAGACTAATACGCTACCAGAGGTGGAATAAGTACTCAGATCTTGTAGTGAAATTATAAGTACTCAGATCTTGTACTTAGCAAAAGTAGAAGTACCAGAGTGTAGGAATACTCTGTCACAGTAAAAGTACTGCATTCAAAATGTTCCTCAAGTGAAAGTAGAAAAGTATTCTCATCAAAATATAGTGAAAGTAGCGACAGTAAAAGTAGTGATTGTGCAGATTGGTCCATTTCAGAATAATATATATGATATGTTTTATAATGATTGATCATGAAAGTGTTCTCAAAGCTGGTAAAGGTGCAGCTAGTTTGAATGACTTTGTATACTGCAGGGTAGCTTGTGGATTTACTCCAGGTGGAACTAAAGTCTGATTCAACACTTGATTAGATTTCACATCATTCATCCACATCTGTGAAGTAACTAAAGGGATTACATATTTAGTGGAGGAAAAGTACACCATGTACCTCTGAACTGTAGAGGAGTAGAAGTACACCATGTACCTCTAAACTGTAGAGGAGTAGAAGTACACCATGTACCTCTAAACTGTAGAGGAGTAGAAGTACACCATGTACCTCTGAACTGTAGAGGAGTAGAAGTACACCATGTACCTCTGAACTGTAGAGGAGTAGAAGTACACCATGTACCTCTAAACTGTAGAGGAGTAGAAGTACACCATGTACCTCTAAACTGTAGAGGAGTAGAAGTACACCATGTACCTCTAAACTGTAGAGGAGTAGAAGTACACCATGTACCTCTGAACTGTAGTGGAGTAGAAGTACACCATGTACCTCTGAACTGTAGTGGAGTAGAAGTACACCATGTACCTCTGACTTGTGTTTACTGCCAACCTAAAAGTACCTCAAAAATAGTAATCAATAATGTATTGAAAAGTTATGTGGCTGATTGTTTTATATTGGCTCAGACAGGTTATATGGGACATACAGATGGGTCACTCATTTTGAAATATTAAACTTAGTTTTTTTTCCTTTAATTTTTCATCCTCAAGTAGAATGCTATCACGAAACACACATTTGTTTGTTTATAGCATAAAGAACATCTGATTTAATGTGAGGTAGGGAAATAATCATTTGAGTATGTGTATATAAATATGTAATTTACAACAGCTGTAAGATGCTTGAAAAGCTGGAAAATGCACCTTGAAAATGCTTGAAAAGTGCATTTGGAAAAAGTGTAAGAACCCTGATTAAGGCAACATAAAAATGCTGGTTCTATTTATAGCCAAAATACTGTGGAGTAAGACACTCTTTTATCACATGTATAAGGATGACTATTAAAAAGGAAGAGATAAAAAAAGACCACACTAAAGCTATTGTTTTTTTTATAATATCAGGTTTATACCGTTTTAGACATTTCCCATATATTGAGGAACTGTGGTCATCTTTCTGAACAACTGGGTTAAATTCCGTACCATGTCCTGCTCTGGTGTTACGGCAGGCTCTGGGGGCAGCAGCTGTTTTGGGGGTTTAACCACAGTGGGCATGATACGGTTGTGGAGAGATGTTTCCTCCTCAGTGGCCTCCTCCAGGATCTGTGTAGACAAAAGTTTATAAAAAAAGAAAAAAGTTGAGAAAATTGTCTGTTATATAGATATATTTTTTATTCCATCTTCTTCTTTCTGTTGCACACTGTCAGCCTGACTCAAAAGGCTATTTGCCCTCATACACCCTTTGAAAGGTGCTATTATTTATCTCCTTCCAACTGTGTTGCCCTGACCATCCTCATGCTTTAGGATGGATTCAGAACCACTCACCCAGCCTGTGGCCTCAAACATCTTAAGGTCCAGTGGGTCTCCGGACAGCTGGCCCTCTATTTTGGTGAGAGAGTGGCAGGTGGCCATACATGCCACAAACTGGGACTTGACTAGATTTTCCTTGTATGCATTTTCCTCTGACAGGTGGAAACTGGAGGCAGAAGAAACATGAGGTTAACAAGAGACCTTCAAAAACACTGTGGATTCTGAATCCTCTCACCAGGTGATCAGCAAATCCATACAAGTTCATCAATGGCTAACTAAGAGAATTACTTCTTTCTAAAAACCTTTAAGATAATGATTTCTTTGGGGTTTGAATATTTTGGATGCAGCTGAAAGGCAACGAAACAGTGGCAGTTCCCTGTTAGATAACCAGACCAGCTTACCTGCCGTTCTCTACCCTCTGAACTCCCCATAGGTCTAATCCATCTTCTGTCAGAGTTCCAGTCTGTAAGCAGGAAGAAAGTTTAATTTAACTGAGTTACATGGAATCAAATCAAATATAAGAAACTACAGTAGAGGTACAAATATCTCCATTTCTTCATATTTTGTTTATTTTCAGGTGGTGTACTTTTCTAGTTGATATGTAAAGTTAGAGCTGACTACTACCAGTTATACAACCAGAGGTACTCACCTTGTCAAAGCAGACCAGATTGAGTTGACCGCAGATGTTGATCCTTTGTGGGCTGATGCAAAAAATGCCCAGGTTTTTGAGGCGTCGCTGGGCGTACACAATGCCAGCTGTCATGGCGGCTGGCAGCGCCGGGGGCACAGTAATGGTGATGATGTCCAGAGACTCAATAATGATGGTTTTAGCTGGCACCTGGGGGAGGGCAGAAAGGACAGAGTAAGGACACTTTGAAATGGTTGATAATCACATTGATCAGAAAACTCTCCAGCTATAAATCAACATGCTGATGCTTATTCTGCTGTAATGCAACAAGCGATAGAGAGACAGGAAAAGTGATGTCTCAAACCATTCATGTTTTATAGAACTCAGCAGAGGTGTGGACTCGAGTCACATGACTTGGACTCGAGTCACCAATTTGATGACTTTGGACTCGACAAAATCACAAAACACTTGCGACTTGACTTGAACACCAATGACTCTGGACTTGACTTGGACTTGAGCCCTCTGACTTGAGGTGACTTGATACTTTAATTCAGAGTTCTCCAACATGCCAATCGCGAGCTGCCAGTAGAAGAGCAGACTCCCGTCGGGGAGAGCAGAGTCTTCAGCCGGTCCTACTCTTGCTGCTGAAAATCCATGCGGGGAGGGGCGGGACTTTATTTTGCTGGGCCACCATGCGGCCAATCATATGCGAGGACACACTAAGATCATACCATTATGTGAAAGAAGGGTGGGGGGCAGACGCTCCAAAGACAGCAAGTGTAGTGGTACAGGCCAGCTACACAGAGCCACGGGGAGACGGATTTAAATGCTAGCGCGTCGGAAAAAGTCAAGAAATGAGCGAAAACCGAAAAAAGAAGCAGCATCTGGCTGCATTTCAATGATATTGGAGAAAGCAAAGCTGAGTGCAGGATTTGTAAAATGAAAATAACCTTCAGAGCAGGGTTTTTATTTTGGTAACCACTCAGGATTTATTGCCAGAGGTGGGAGAAGTTCAGATCTTGTACTTGAGTAAAAGTACCAGAGTGTAGGAATACTCGGTTACAATAAAAAGTCCTGCATTCAAAATGTTACTCAAGTAAAAGTAGAAAAGTATTATCATCAAAATATAGTTAAAGTACCACCTGCAGAGGGATCTAGATTCAGGTGTTCTTTTCCCCATAGAGACCGCCTCGCTGCACATTATCCCTTGCATAAAGATAGATTGTGGGTCCCTTACAACATGTTGTACACAGTGGAAATAAACATTCTGGTCACCTTAACATCAGGGATCTTATCAATTAAACTCCTTCTGAAATAAACCGTCACGGTAGCCTTACCTTACTGATCCCTCTTAAATTAGAAGATAAACACTTTACTTTACCAGCAGAGAGAAAATGGATTATAATGTGACTAATAAAGAGCAGTTTGATTATTAAGTATTATTCTGTTGATGGATGTTATTACATTTGGTGAAAAGCACATAATGACTTGTTTAAGACTCGGTTTTCAAAGTTTAGGACTTGACTTGAATTTGCCCATCCTGACTTGAGCGCTAACACTTGAGACTTACTTGTGACTTGCAAAACAATGACTTGGTCCCACCTCTGGAACTCAGTGATTCAGACATTTATAAAATGCAGTTTCATGTTGAGCACAATGTTGCACAGAGGGAATGAAGGGCTTGACACAGGACATCATTCTTTATTTCACAGAGCCAGTGAATCTTCTATAGGAAAGTATGTGATTTTCTTGCAGTTGCCCTTACATGTTCACCCCCTCTTTTACTTCTGTAAAAAAACAGATAACAATGCTTACCTTGTTCATGATGCTGAGGACGATGGAGTAGACAAAGCCAATTCCAGCTATAGCCACCAGACACAAGAGGAAGAGGTAGGCATCTCGGTACAGCTTGAAGTCGGTGGGTTTTGGGTAAAGGATGGAGCGCACCAGCTGGCCTTTGGCTGTGCTGAAACCTGGGTAAAGACGTTTTTAGGAGAATTTTTCAAATATTCGATCTTACACTCCTTTCAGAAAGGGTCTCTAAACTGTGACGAACAAGGATTACACTGCAGAGCACCTAATAAGGGGGCTCCCTGAATAAGAGGGATATTCCTAACCTCAGAGAGGCTGTGTTGATCTTTTAACAAATGGCAGTAGAACCTGTGATTTCTTTATTTAAACAACGAATGAAACCCTTGTATTTCAGTCAAGAATCTAAGTACAGCTTACTTTATGGAAGTAGCATCTCCAGCAAGAGAATAAAGACCATACACGTGGGCTGAGCATGTATGTAGAAAAAATATAACCACTTTTGAATGTCACACTGTTTTAGATCCAACGTTTCTACAACAAACATATAGAACATTTACACCAATTTAGAGATGATCTCAACATTACATTCCTGAATTCACATCCCCGGACACACACACAGACCTACCTGTGCATACCACCACAGCCTTGACCAGGTCGCCTGTGTAGAAGCGGGTCTGGATGACATGCGTGCCACAGAAGAGTGTGTGTCTCTTATGCTCCTCTGTGTTGAAGACACTGTCATTATCCTCCCCCCTGTCCCCAGGCAATGGGTCTGGCAGGTTGGTCTTTGTCACAGGAACACTCTCACCTAATTAGAGGTTAGACTGATATTAGCACTGGCAGCTGGACAATTAACAAGAAGAGCTGTTGGCTGTTTAGAGTCTCCTATGGTCGGTTGTTAAGCCAACAGCCGCGCTCTCTGCTGAGTTTCTTAAATGTTCAGATGTCGCCTCTAACCTGTGAGCATGCTTTCATTGACAATGCAGGTGCCGCTGACCAGCACGGCGTCACATGGCATGATGGTCCCATTGATGGGGATGACCATCACATCACCGGGCACCAGATCAGTAGACAAAATCTCTTCGATTTCTGTTGGGAAGGGGGAGGGGGGTGCAGGGGAGGAGTGGAGAAAGTAAATGTGTGCATTAAATTCAGACAAGTGGAGTGTGGAGTAAAACAAATAGGAGACAGTTAAATGAGGAGTGTGGAGAATGGTGTAAGGTGTAATTCAACAACAGCAGATGGAGGATGTGGGGGGGAGAAAGGAGACATTTTGTGTGTCAGAGCCCCAGAGCCTTGTTCAGCACTTCTCTCATTACTCATGCCTAGGAAGGCAGCAGGAAAAAGCAAACAGGGGCCAGTGCAGTAAATGGATGCATACATAAAAGTATAAGAGTTTTCAAACTTCCACAGCAATGTTTTCCAACTGATTCTGAGCATGAGTCTAATTTTGTCCTTTGGCCAATCTTGGTATTCATTTTAATTGGCTACAGCTGATAAGACACAGGATGACAATGTCAAGGCATGTGCATCTCTGTAGCAGATACTATAACCCACACAGACCTATAATATTATGTGTAGAACTATTAAAGAGTGCTTAAAAATGAATGCCTATGCTTTGCCCTCTATCTAACATAAAACCTTTCTCTCTTTAAGTGTGCATTGTCCCATACTAGCAGCCATCTGAAACACAGCCAATGGGACTGTGTAATTGAGTCTGGGCTAGCACACAAGCAAAAAAAATAAAGTCTAATGCGAGGTTACGTTTGGAGAGAATAGAATAAAAATGTGGTGTACTACTATTTAAATGACCATCTGCAACAAAAAAACAACAGAAGAAAAGAAGGAAAACAGAAAGGTACAAACCATTGTTGGGTCGGCATACAGACACACGGACAACACTGTGAGTTGCCACCATATCGTGGAGCATGATGTATTGCTGGAATAAAAGAACAAAGAAGATAGACTTTAGACATCTTTTTGATTTGCATATTTACCCGAGTATAACTATGTAGCCAGATGTGAGGTCAGATAAATGTCTCTGAATTTATTGAAAGTCTCAAGATTTGTGGAGCTCACCTTTTTAATGGTGTACAGAGAGGTAGCTATGGATATGATCGACATGAAAAGGATGGCCACAGCATAATAGTAATACTCATCGGCACTCCACAGGATCACACTGAAGAGCTGGAAGATGTAGAAAGGGTTTAGAACCTGCAGGAGGGAGACAGAGAGATTAGTGAGGTTATTCAAAGACGGAGATGTCTACTTGAGGATTTAATCAAGATGCTTCCTTGACAACGAGAGGGAAAAAGAAGATTTAAACAAGTTCCCATACAGTATGTCTGCATAAGTTCTCATTTACAAGATGTACATATATTTATTTATGTAGTTTTAGATATGTTACACGGTGTACACAAGTTTAATGTGTAAGGGGATGAGATGTCCCCCTTTTGTTCATTGTGTTGCGTGCACGGGCGGTAGTAGTATTTATCAACGTACCAATTACATACTGAAACTAAACTCGTTTAATAGAAATACAGCAAGTAGATATCCAAAACAGTTTCCTTAAAAAGAATGCACAAAACTAGAAAGGTCTCTTTATCTACTAGCTGGGAAAATATTGGTTAGTGTGGTATTTCATTGTTTGAAGGAACTGAAATGCAGAGATAAATTCACAACATTGTAACTTTAATATCTGGGCACACAAAAGTCGACAAGGAGTCTATAATTCAAGACAATTCAAACTTCAAAGACGTCAAAGACGTGCTGCCTGTGTGAAGGCAAACCGGGCCTTACCTCTTTGATAAGCAGCTTGAAAACAGAAGGCACTTTCACTGCAATTTCATTCACTCCGAAGAACAGTCTCCTGACAAGAGGTGAAAGAGACATTAATGAGCAAAGTGTTGTAAACTGCACCTTCTTATCAAAACATAACCACATACTCAAACACACATGTACGCATAAACATAGTAATATGTGGGCTCTATAAACAGGGGTGCACATAACTTTTTTGCCCTGGTTCTCAAAAGGAGCACCTGGTGATGTTGCTTGGTGCTCATCCTTAAAATGAAATAAACCGTAACTTTGGAGGGGGTCTTGACTTTATTTGCAAGACACACGGCACTGAACACACATGCAGAGGTGAACACAAGAAAACATTAGCACGACCAGTAATCCTACAAGCTGTCATCACTACCCTCCCGACTGTTCTCCTCACTGTCTTCCTTTCTGTCAGACATGGTAGCTGATGATGTAGGCCTACTACTTTCTCTCTGGTTGAGTCTGCGATTAGCTGCTTGCATCCACAAGTCAACAGCTGGGTTTGGGTCGAAAGTCTCTGTTGTCATCTTAGACAAGTGGATGTAATCCAATAAGTATGTGAACATAACCAATAACCTACCATAGCCAATAACAAATTAAACTTATTTTATTTGTGTTGTTCATATCTTATTTTACCTTAACATTTATTTATTTATGGATCTTTTTTTTATCTCTCCAGTTTTAAAGGATATTTTTGGTTACTGTCCTATAGTATACATTGGAATGATTTCAAACCTGTGTATCCCAATAATTATAAAGGAGTGCCTTGGAAATGTGTGTTTACATAAATTGTGACCAAACCGTTTGAACTTAGACTAAAGTGAACTATCTAAATACTCAGAGTCCTTTACCTCACTGAGCTGTAGTATCAACCTCTCAGTCTGACTGGAGAGGACTCTCCCTCCACATCATTGTAGAAATATCTTCTTCTTATATCCGTTAGAGCAGCTAGCACCAGATTCTAATAACAACAGCCCTAACAACCCTCCCTCTCTCCCACGCTCACTCGCATTTTGGCTGTGAGCTGCGGGCGCCAGATAAGCCAACATCCCCCATTTTCATCACTTACAGCGCCCATCGTACAGGGCAAATGAAACGTGTAACCACCAGCGCACCAGTTATGTGCAGCCCTGTCTATAAAGTCTGACTGCAGTTAGTTTGTGCCACCTATCCTTCAGACAGGTGAGCTGTACCTGTACTCCTGCTGGTTCCTGGTCAGGCCTACACTGTGCTCCGAGTGGAGGGTGGAGCAGCTGACCTGCAAATCCTCCAGGCCGCTGCAGGGGTCAATGCAGGGGGGCAAAAGTCAAGACTTTTAATTACACATAATGGTGCAAGTCTAATAATTATTGCAGTTGTAAAAGGTTAAGGATTTCAGATGTTAATGTATTGGTCTTTACAAGTTAAAACATAATTACAGATAGAGTTATAATTCATCTGCTTTCAATTTAGCTTACTCTAAGGGAGGAGTTTTCAGAAGCAGTAGCGCCTACAAACTGGAATAAATAACATTTCTGTAAATATCCAAAGAATGCTTACGTTAAAACACCAAAATTCTGCACCTCGTCGCTCCAATAATAAGTTGTGCTATGGAAGGTAAAGTAGCGGATCTAGCAAAGGGAAATACAAGAGGGAAAAGCAGGGAGAAAGGATACATGTTACTTTTACTGTATTGCTATCCACATGCTAAAAGGCAATAAGTAAATGTGCATGAAAGAGAAGGGTAAGGCAGAATTCAGTTTTATGTAACATATGTTTGACAATTTGCAGCATCACTATGAATATAGAATGTGATTAAACATTATTAAAGCGTTGTAATACTTTGATCAACTGTGGAAAAACAAACACTGATATGTGCTTGGCAGCCAGTTTATGGTTTCCATCATCGGTGTGTTCAGCGTGTGTGTACATACTGTATACTGTGGAGTTTGAGCCTACCTGTGTGGGCTGGTAGTCGGCATATCTTCTGATGAGCTCCTGGTCGGGGTTGCCATCGGAGGGGTGGGGGGTGTGTCCGTTGGCTAGAGGGGGGGAGGAGAAGGGGCAGGAGGGAGAGGAAGGGGAGGTGGTCTGGGTCTCCAGGCAGTGGAAGGGGTTCCTTCCCGGGGCCAGCATCACTCGTACCCTGGCCAGGAACCAGCGCCGGAACTCATCCTGGTCAAACAAATACAGGCAAGGTTGTTGTAATGGACTTTTTATTACAAATTGACCTACATTTTCTGCTGAACTTACAGTAGGTCATTTCTATAAAGGCAGCATCACTAAAGAACATAAGGTGGCCAGACATAGCATCAATCCTTATTTATCCATCTTCAAATACTGATCTGCATTTGGTGAAGACACTATGTATGTCTCCTAAGTCAACATTTATTGTCAAATGGTTTAATACAATGGGGATTTAGCCAATGGCCCGATGATCAAAGTATTGCGATATTAATATATTTTATTGAAAAAGAGTTGTCAGTGGCAACATTCTTCAATAAATCAGAATAGGTTTGGTACATATAATATATTAACAGGAAATAAAAATGCAGACACATTCAAAGAGACCAACACAGCGAGAGAGGAAAGACACAAATGACACACATGGGTGTTATGAACCAACCCAGTCTCATGGCATTTCGTGTTCACCAACACAATTTTCCCCTTTTTTTCGTGTTGCACAGCACGATTTTAAAAGCAATGTATTTCTACTGGTAATGTGTTTCGTGCCTGCAGCACTTCTTTTTCTCCGGTCGGGTCGTGGAAGACCGGAAGCTGTGTGGTTCATAAAAACATGTTCTTACTCAATATCAAGCCACAATTATTGCTTTTATTTTAAATCATTTAATTTCGGACTTTTGTTGCCGTCCGTGAGGAAAATAAATGGGGCTCAGAGCCTCAGAATACTGAAATCTGTATTTTTCGATCTTTTTTTCCTTCTAATTTGTTATTCTTTTCAAAATAACACACTGTTATTTACTCACCAATAACACACAATTATCCTTGCTTTTATTTATTGGTTTGATTCCATAATCTCGGGCTTTTTTGGCGTCCGTCAGGAACTGAATTTCAAAATAAAAATAACCGGAAACAGACGTAGGCATTTCGAGTGATTACCCAAGATCCTCAGCTATGGTTTAAGCTCGCTTATTGGATGTTTTAGCCGCAATGCATGCTGGGATTTGGTGTTTATATGATATGAAATCCGGAAAACATTTTAAAAGAATAAAATACTTAATTCCGAGTGTTCTTGCTTTTCTCTTTGAAAGTCATCACATAACGGCATTGTAATACACGGTTCGGCTGCATTACATATTACAGATCTGCCGTAGTTCTTTATTTATAGAGCCCTGATGAGAAGACCTTTGGAAAAACTGAAGAAATGCCGCCGAAACTGAATACTTGACGTGGATCATAAATATATCAACATCTTCAATTTCTCTTCATACAATACGTCTCCTTGCAGTATCAACACTAATTCGGCTGACTTTTACATTTGATCTAATTCATAGATAGGTTATATTTACACCATAACGGTGCACAGCTGATATAAAATGACTTGTAGTTTTTAAAGATATTACTGATTTTCTTTGAATATAAGAATGTAAATACTGAGTCTGAAATAGTATAGCAATATGCTGTAAAATTATGTGAAAGCATGAATAAAACTACACATCTTCAGATGTTGTACATACATAAGTGTGTGTCCTACACTAATAATACAAAGTTATTATGGCTGTGTGTACCTTGTGTGCACCGCCTAGTGGTTAAAGCAGGTTATTGAATTATTGTTTTTATGAGTTATATTTGATAAAAAAAATATTAAGAGTACATACTTTCATAGGGGGAAAGTAGAAGGTCTGTGATAGAAATATAGAATATAAAAAATCAAGAAGATACTATAAGTGATCTCTACAATAAAACAGTTTAGTGCAGGATGTACAAAGATATTAATAGGAGGAGGTGCAAAAGAGAAAAACGAATTAACCTTTATTTAAACATTAAATAATACTTTAGATTAAGGTCTTCTTTTAAATAAGAAAAACACTTTGGGGGTATCAAAAGATAAATATTAAGCCTGACAAAGTACTTAACATAATTGCTTTCCTGCAATGTTAACTATGTTGAAGCACTTATTTTAACTGATATTATACATATGAATTATACTCTTATGTATGTAGATTAGGGGTGTTGAAAATAATCGTTTCTACGATGCATTGCGATGCGGACGTGGACGATTCGGTCTCGATGCAGTGACGGAAGATAATCGGTTATAGCGTAGTAACGTTGCTTCCTGAATTTCCGGCTGCGACTTTACTATAACGTTTTTTTTCCCTGTCACTTTAATATCAAATCGGTCGGTGACGCAGAGATCAGGGAACAGACGTGACAGCGGCACAGCAACACCAAACACGGAGCAGTCTGCTTTATCCACCAACACAACACCACCAGTCCAGAACCAACAGCAGAAGGACCCGCTCTGAATCACTCCGTGTCGCTGCGGCACAGGGATTTATGTTTTTCAAAAATAATCGCGTTACAATCATGTCAGGTTTTTGGTGGATTTAATTAAGTCTTGGATTGCAAAGTATGAATGTCCTCTAGCAATTTTCAGACGATATATACGTGTGTAAAGTTTGTGAAGGCAGGAGGAAAAAAGCTTCCGTGATCACCGTCTCCTCTCCGTTCCTCCAAACCCCACCCACTCACTGAAAATAATGAGTGACAGGCTGATAGTGACCCGATAGAAACTTTATTATTTACTTAATCACTGAGATATGATGAAGCTAATTTAATCTCATACATTCATGGGATTTATGTAACAGTAAGACAGAGAATGTAAGTGTGCACCCACATGCACTATTTTTGTTTGTATATGCTGTTGTAAATACTCCTGTTGTCTGCTGTGTTCAGACTCAAGTCCTGTGTGTGATGCCACATTCAGGACATTCAGTGTCCTTTTTTGAACAGAAGACCATTGCTAGAAGCTGCAGCTAGACTGCAGAAGCATTATTTTTTTGTTTTTGAGGATGGAACAACTTCACACACAGATATAGGGAGGCTAGACCTATACAATTCATTTATTTTGGTTTATAAATGTCTCGTTTTTAGTCTTACGCATCCGACCTGGAAAACTTTGCAGCCAATCTTATTTGTTACAGTGTACCGTGCACCAGGTCCTTATTCAGAATTCTTATCTGAATTCTCTGAGTTTGTATCAACTTTGGTTCTTAAAACAGATAAAGTAATTATCGTAGGTGACTTTAATATTCATGTTGACGATGATAAAAATAGCCTTACTGTTGCATTTAACTCTATATTAGATTATGTTGGTTTTTGTCAGAGTGTAAATAAACCAACCCACTGCTATAATCACACTCTCGACCTTGTTCTGACTTATGGTATTGAAATTGAGCAACTATTAGTCGAACCGCATAATCCTGCTTTATCCGACCATTTCTTAGTAACTTTTGAAGTACTGTTACGAGACTACAAAGCATTAGTCAAAAGCTCCTGCAGCAGAAACCTGTTAGTGCTATAGCCAAATTTAAGGAAGAGATTCCACCAATACTTAACTCGATAGCATGTCTGCATGTAAGGGAGGAAACTTATACAAAATGTACACCACCCCAAATTGATCATGTTGTTGATAGTGCTACAGATGCGCTGCGAATAAAATTAGACTCTGTTGCTCCTTTGAAAAAGAAGAAAATAAAACAACATAGATTAGCTCCATGGCATAATGCCGAAACCCGCAAAATAAAGCAAAAGTCGAGACAACTTGAAAGGATATGGCGTTCCACTAAACTTGAAGAATCTCGTTTAATTTGGCATATTACTCTCAATGAATATAAGAAAGCACTGCGTAAAGCGAGAGCAGCCTACTACTCTTCATTAATAGATGAGAATAAGAATAATGCAAGATTTATTTCCAGCACTGTAGCCAGGCTGACAGAGAGCCACAGCTCGATTGAGCCTTCTATTCCCATAGCACTCAGTAGTAATGATTTTATGTGCTTTTTTAACGATAAAATTGTTACTCTTAGAAACAAAATTAATGACCTCTTGCCTTTGACCAGTATAGTGTTATCAACAGCTCCCGGAAACGTAAGTTCTAATATTACACTAGATAGTAAACTAGAATGCTTTTCAGCCATAAACCTTGAACAATTAAATTCAATGATTCTCTCTTCTAAACCATCAACGTGTATGTTAGACCCAATTCCAACTAAGCTGTTGAAGGAAGTTTTTCCATTAATTAGCACTTATTTATTAAACATTATGAATATGTCTTTATTATCAGGCTATGTTCCACAATCATTCAAAGTAGCAGTGATAAAACCGCTTCTTAAAAAGCACAACCTCGATCCAGAGGTTTTAGCCAATTATAGACCTATTTCCAAGCTTCCGTTCCTCTCAAAAATTCTTGAGAAAGCGGTCGCAAAACAGCTGTGTGATTACTTAAAAAACAATGATTTATTTGAAGATTTTCAGTCTGGCTTTAGAACACATCATAGCACAGAGACAGCTCTGGTTAAAGTCACAAATGACATTCTAATAGCTTCTGACAAGGGACGTGTCTCTATTCTTGTTTTGCTCGATCTCAGTGCTGCATTTGATACTATCGACCATGATATCTTATTGCAAAGACTAGAGCACTTAGTTGGCATACAGGGAACTGCTTTAGACTGGTTTAGGTCCTATCTATCTGAACGCTCTCAGTTTGTACGTGTCAATGATGAATCTTCCACGCAAACCAAAGTTAGCCATGGAGTGCCACAGGGCTCAGTGCTCGGACCTATTTTGTTCACATTATATATGCTTCCGTTAGGCAATATTATAAGGAATCATTCTGTACATTTTCATTGTTATGCGGATGATACTCAACTATATTTATCAATCAAGCCTGATGAAATTAATCATCTAAATAAAATTCAAGACTGCCTTAAGGACTTAAAAACGTGGATGACCTTAAACTTTTTGATGTTAAACACGACCAAAACTGAAGTTATTGTACTTGGCCCGAAGAATCTACGAAACAAATTATCTAAGGATATACTAACTATGGATGGCATTAATTTGGCCTCCAGTGAAACTGTAAGGAATCTTGGTGTTATATTTGATCAGGATTTATCCTTTAACGCCCACATAAAATCAATTTCAAGGACCGCCTACTTCCATCTACGTAACATTGCAAAAATCAGGCATATTTTGCCTCAAAACGATGCAGAGAAACTAGTCCATGCATTTGTTACTTCAAGGCTGGATTATTGTAACTCTTTATTATCAGGGTGTACCAAGAAGTCAGTCAAGTCGCTTCAGCTGATTCAAAATGCTGCAGCTCGTGTACTAACCAGAGTTAGGAAAAGGGACCACATTACTCCTGTTCTGGCTGCCTTACACTGGCTCCCTATAGAACACAGGATAGAATTTAAAATTCTTCTTCTCACCTACAAAGCCCTTAATGGGCAGGCGCCATTTTACCTTAAAGAACTCATTATACCCTACTGTCCTACTAGGGCATTGCGTTCCAAGAATGCAGGGTTGTTGGTTGTTCCTAGAGTCTCTAAAAGTACAATGGGAGCCAGAGCCTTTTCTTATCAAGCTCCACATTTGTGGAATCAGCTTCCAGTTTGTGTTCGGGCGGCAGACACCCTATCCGTTTTTAAGAGTGCGCTTAAGACCTTCCTTTTTGATAAAGCTTATAGTTAGGGCTGATTAGATTCAGCCCCTAGTTTTGCTGATATAGGCTTAGTTTGTCGGGGGACATCTTACTTCTTCCTTCTCTCTGTCTATACCTGTGTACTCTCATGTTCCGATTAACCCAGCTTCCCCAAATGTCTTTCTTTTTGGTGTCTATATACCCCGGGATCCGGAGTCATGGATGATCCTGCGCTCCTCTGTCCTGGATCGCGAGCCCTGGATCTTGAGTCGTGGCTGTGGTCCTGGATTATAGGTCCTGGATGGATATCCTCGTGGATTCATCTTCCTATTATACACACATGCATTTCCAAACATTTGGACTACCTATGTTGCAAATGTATTATCTTTTCAATTTACACATGGCATCTATTGCACGTCTGTCCGTCCTGGGAGAGGGATCCCTCCTCTGTTGCTCTCCCTGAGGTTTCTCCCATTTTTCCCTTTAAACTGTGGGTTTTCTTCTGAAGTTTTTCCTTGTACGATGTGAGGGTCTAAGGACAGAGGGTGTCGTATTGTCATACTGATATTTTGTACAAACTGTAAAGTCCACTGAGACAAATGTAACATTTGTGATATTGGGCTATATAAATAAACATTGATTGATTGTCAAGACATTTATGTTATTGATTTCTGAAGCACTTTCTAAATAATAAAAAGAGAGTTCATATGTATTTACTGCATGTATGCATTGATGAAAAATAAGCCATGTGCAGTAATATAGAAAATTGAGGATGCAACGCATTGGTATGAATCGTGATGCATCGGGATATCGAATTGAATCGAATCGTTGACAGGATAATCGTAATCGAATCGAATCGTGAGACCAGTGAAGATGCACAGCCCTAATGTAGATAGTATAAGAAATGTGCAGAATATGACAGTTTAATGGTGGAGGTACACACATATTGATAGATGTCTTGTAATGCACTGTTGAGGAACCTGCGACCTAAGATTTTCATTCATTGCATACACCGTAGTTGTGTATATGATTATGTCAATAAACCTTTGAAAATCTTGAAATCTTGAAAGGGATGTGCAAAATAGCCATAATATACAGTCTTTAATTAACTCTTAGTAGAGAATAACGAGTAATGAATATACTTTATTACTCGTTTCCATTCATGTCAGTTGCAGATACATGTTTAGTCTTCTCAAGCACCAACTATCAAATATCTCTCCTGATTGTTGGCACTTGACAATCACCTTACCTGAATTTTACTGTAACTAAAGTCTGATTTAAGGGTTGTTTATATTTCACATCATTAATCAGAATCTGCAAAGTAACTCAAATAAGTGTAGTGGAGTAAAAATACCAGGTTAACCTCTGAATTGTAGTGGAGTAGAATTACAAAGTAACAATGAGCTGCGTGATATATTAATGCTGCACATTATGGACACAAGCGATTTTCACCCATTTATTAATTATATGTTTTACATTTGATAACACCAATGTGTTTAATACTGGCAACTTCTAATTGTGGGGAAAACGAAAACGTTCAGTAGAGATGTCCCATAGAACATTTTGCGAAGGGTGTAGTTCTGGGGGGGGCGTTCGATTCTAGTTTTGGATAGTCTGGCGTGGTTTCGTTCCATTTCAAACAGCTGTTTGACGCTCGTTGTAACCTTGGCGCACTGCCACTCCTTAATCACGGGGACTGTAGTCCTAAACGATAGCTGGGGATTATGGGTAGTGTAGTGTCTTCGGCCATCCTAAACTCAGAAATGTTGACAATCGCAATGATGCTCGAAATGTCCCTTACAGGCCTACGTCTGTTTCCGGTTATTTTTATTTTGAAATTCAGTTCCTGACGGACGCCAAAAAAGGCCTAGATTATGGAATCAAACCAATAAATAAAAGCAAGGATAATTGTGTGTTATTGGTGAGTAAATAACAGTGTGTTATTTTGAAAAGAATAACAAATTAGAAGGAAAAAAAATTGAAAAATACAGATTTCAGTATCCTGAGGCTCTGAGCCCCATTTATTTTCCTCACAGACGGCAACAAAAGTCCGAAATTAAATGATTTAAAATAAAAGCAATAATTGTGGCTTGATATTGAGTAAGAACATGTTTTTATGAACCACACAGCTTCCGGTCTTCCACGACCCGACCGGAGAAAAAGAAGTGCTGCAGGCACGAAACACATTACCAGTAGAAATACATTGCTTTTAAAATCGTGCTGTGCAACACGAAAAAAAAGGGGAAAATCGTGTTGGTGAACACGAATCAATAGATTAAAAATCGTGTTGGTGAACACGAAATGCCATGAGACTGGGTTGTATGAACACATGGGCTGACACATGGCAAATTATCTGTGTATTTCTGCTGGTGTGACTCAGTAGGATCAGCCAGGCTCTATTTACTCTGCTTAGACAACATATACTATAAATAATGTACATTCACAGCTTTAAAAGCTGAGGTTTAAATATTCTGCATAGACTCATGATACTGTTTTATTATTAAAATAACTGAAATAGATGTATAATAATAATAAATGAATGAATGAAAGTGCAATTTGAAAAGGGACCACTTGTTTTCTATACAGCGTAGGCTCTTTTATACCAATACTCACAATTACAAGGACTGAAACAAAATCAAATGTCCAAGTATTTCATTAACTATTGTAGCTGTGTATTCTACCTACCGTGGAGCGCAGCAATACCACTTCAGCATCGCGGGCTGTGGTGCGGGTGCAGGTGGATTTGACGCACCACTCCGGCATCCAGTAGAGCAGCAGGAGGAGGAAGCCCCCTGTGAACAGCACCCCGAGACCCACAAGGGCCAGCCGCCAACGACACAGACGGTACCCCTGCAGCTCCTAAAGGGTGGAGGGAGAAAAGGGGGAGAAGTCTTACAAGCAAAAAAAACACTAATTCCAAAATGTTCACGAATGTAAAATTAAATGGAGAGCCGTACCAGCTCCTCCTCTTCCCCTTTGTTGAGGACCTTCAGGTCTTCTTTCTCCATGCTGCACAACAGTTTGCCAAGCCCCTCCTTTAGTCACTGCAAATAAAACAGAGTGGACAGTGTGGGAAAACAATATAGCTCCACAACCGCAAATCAAAACAGTGGCTCCACACCACAGGGTCACAAGAGGCTTTCTAATGATAAGTGAGTTTTGTGTGGAAATACTGGGTATTTCTCATTAACAAATGTATCACATTTTTGTGATATAGAGAAGCAGAGAAAAAACTCCAGATAATCATTTGCTTGTTTTTATGTTATGCAGTTAACACTACATTTCTGTGGTTGCAAAATCATGCATACACTACAAATAACTTCATGGTTGAGGTTTAGGAGCTGAAAGGATTGAGGACCATCACTGTTTCCAAGCCAATTAACATCAATTCTGGAATGAAAATCTAGTATTAAATCCATAATTACAATAATTAATGTTCATGTGTCGTACAATAATCCGATAACGTTATCATCTTGACAAGCTTAGGCCCTAATACAAATATTTATCAATACAGTGTACTTGTTTTCACCCAACTGTTGGATTGACATGCTGGTCATCAGTGGGTTCTGGTAACACCTGGGCCCGGTGTTCACAGTCTATAATATTCAGCAGGTGTTAAGTGGTAATGTGTCAGTTCCCTTCTATTTGATGTATTTTTAAAACATTCACTCTCCTTTCCCCATGCACAACCTACACTATCTTTTGAATGGTTGTTGGTAGCACTTGTCCATAGTAAGTAATCTACTATAGATACAGAGTTATGTTTAGTCAAATACCTACAGTAGATGGAATGCAGAAAAGAGTCTTGTGATAAGAGAGAATCTCAGTCAATTGTCCACACACTGTAAATATCTGTCCACAAGAGAGCCAAGTACATTGGCTAAAGGTCTGAAATACATCTTGTCCTACTGCAAAAGTCTTTGAGCAGTGAAAATAAGTCTGTAGGCATATCAGACACCAGTGAATGCATCCAACCAATCTTTCTAAAAGCCTTAGGCATGAGGAAACTTTTCCAGTCTTTGCTTTGGCCTATAACTATGTGAATAACAAGCGTACATTTTCTACCATAGACGGATGTTGTCTAAAAAGCACATGAATGTCAATAAAAAGTGAGCAGAGATCAAAATGTTTTTTTCCGAACTCCACCTATTTAACCCAAGTTGAACCCTTTAACTGTCTGTGGGGAAAGAGCTATAACAAAGGAGGGTATAACTGTCTGAGGACACACATTGCAGGAAAGCTGGCAGAGGTCAATAGTTCATTTGAGCACATGGGAACTGCTCCAACTACAAGAATGCACAGCACTTCACAGACAGCTGCTAATTGTCAAAAACCTAAGTTCACTCCCAAAGATTGTTAACACACCCACACACAGAACAACTGAGTCATCAACCAATGAACTCCTCCCACTTGTTTCCAAGGAACAGGCAGATACCATGGAGGGCACACTGACTCTTAACAATTTATATTTTATGCTGCATTTATATAGACTCAGAAGAGCATCTACGACAAATATGTTCAATCTCTTACCAGTTGTGTTACAGACAAACTGTCTCTTTGGCCAATAGCAGAACCAACTCTGCAGGCTGCTTTATTCCATTGTGCTCTAGCATAGTATTATACAGGGAGATCCAGTGAAGCTGAATGTGTGTGGAGGCAAACTGTGTAAGAGGTTAATTAGACTACTGGCTTTGTGGTCAGGAGCTGCTTACACTTGGGCTTCCGGGTGACATCTCATCCAGGGCTTAAAACTGCCAGCATCTCATGGATCTGAATTTGAGCCGGTTGTAACTCATATAAACTGTTGGGTAAATTTGAGTTTTTGAATTTTTATAAGTACAGTACAGAAAGTTTGGTTTTGGTGTTATTTATAGTGGCCTCGTCTGTCTGTCTGTCTGTCTGTCTGTCTGTGTTTGTTGACCTACGGCACATGTTTCAAACTCAAGGCCCGGGGGCCAAATCCGGCCCGTGGTGGATTGAATTTCGGCCCGCAGAATAATTTTGTATTACTATTAGTTCTGGCCCGCCGGTATATTGCATGCACACCTTCACTCAATCCTGAGGGGTTCCTCAGCTCAGAGCCTGAGCCCAAACATTGATGAACTTGCACCCGAGATGAGATGCCAAGTATCTGGCTTGAACTAGCATCACAGCAGCACACTGAGTTTCAATGGATGTTTCCTTCTGCACTTTTTTTCTTGAGATAACGGGGCATGTTTGGTTTTTTCTTTGAGGGAAATAGTTTTGTTTAAGCTGTTGTTGGCCTATGGAGAAATGTAATCATAAGAAATGACTCCGGAAAAGCTGCAAATAGAGCCATAAGAATTGAATGCAACTGATTATTTAATGTTTAATGTTTTTTTTATAGGCAATAATTTAAGCTTTGTTAGTTCCGGGTTTAATATGTGCAATAAGTTCATTTCAATAAGTTCTGCAATAAACATTGAACCAGTCCGGCCCTCCACTAGTACCCATTTTTTTATTTTGGCCCACTGTGTATTTGAGTTTGACCCCCCTGACCTAGGGCAAGGCTCAACTACACCATACATGCGTGCACTACCTTTCAGGTGGTACTGTTCTTCATTCTTTTCAAACTTCATTTATTGCCAGGAATACTATTTACCGTATTCAAATGTGTTATGGTCGAGTTGATAGCGTGATTGTGTGATCTTGTAAATATTGCTGTAGCTTTTTGGATGAATTCTGATCCAATAGTCCAAATAAATGTACTAGTGATTTGAATAGAGTTCAAGTTTTCAGCAACAAACATCATACAAACTATGAATAGAAACCAAAAGGTCTCATTCCTTTTACATATTCTCTTTGAATATTGACTGGTTACTTCCAAATTAGGCAGTGTTACAATATGCCGGAATTGACCATAACAGTAGTAGTTTAAAAACAAAATATTGTCATCATGTTAATCCTTCATGTATTATAAAAGTGTGTTAAAAATAAAAGCCTCTTTAATCAATTCCTTTTTCTTTCCGTTTTGTCTCACCGAACGCCTCACACACATACAGAACATTTGTTTAAATGTGCCGAACGCGACAAATTGCACATCAAACAAAGTAAAATATAACTGTAACTAATATATATTTTTTATGATTTTAAGTTCTTTAAGTATTCTGTAAATATTGTAAAAATATTGGTATTGTGAGACGTTTTGGCCAGGATAATTGTGTAGTATATTGAGACAGCCCTACATCCAAATTATTATTATTAGAATATATTCTACCAGTCTGTCTGCTTTAGTGCTCTGCCTTTACAGTACAACTGAACAAGAAATGCTGGCAGTAAGTACCAATACATGTTTAAGAAAGTATAGCTACATTCTCCATTGAAAAACAATGGCCATTCTCTGTGCTCTGTGTTCTTTGGTGTAAAGGCTAGTACACCAAATAAATAAAAAAGAATGATACAAAAACCATAGGGTCACCCTGCTACAGCCCCCACTGATCCTGTATCACTGCCCCCACACTCTGATTTTATCTGCCAGCTGCACCCGGGTGGACTTTTTCCCTGGCATACAGCGGGATATTTTGCTTAGGACCAAGCCCTTCCTAGTATTTTACAATAGCAGCCCCCTGGCCGGCGCTATGCAGAGGGTGCAGTGCAACGAGAACAATCCCTCCCCAAAACCTGCTATGACTGGAAATGCCGACACCAGTGCATCATGCACACACTCTTTTACAAGATGGTTGTCCTGCCATGGTGACTAACAGATAGCACTCAAAAAGGGTTTAAAAAGTACCAAGCTTGTGGTTAGTGTCACCAAAAAGTGTTACATAGTCTGTTAAGTTGGAATCATTACATAGAAGAAAGAGGGTAGTAACCTTCTAAATCATTCAGTGTCCAATAATGACAGGCTCCGAAGAGACAGGAGGCCATAGTTTAAACTTAATGGCAAAGGAGCCGGACATGTTAACCCTGTTTATGGCTTAGGTAGTAATATGTTACACTTTAACTCACGTTGGAGATACAATTATACTTTCATTTAGGGGAATTTGTGCAAAAGTGTCAGGATAGGGTACTGTCGCACAACACGGCTATACAAAATTGCAATTATAATGTACATCAGAGAAAGAAAAAATAAATAAATAAATACAATTGTTAAAACAAATAAGAGGACATCTTTCCCTAGCCCTCACCAATCGTACATCCAAAAAGCCTTGAATGACCCCTCACATGCAATAGAACTGTCTCTTAATGGGCAAACCTAAGGGATGTAGCACAATGATTATATTTATACTGTTGCAATAAGTACATTTCCTCCAGTGAAATTATATCCTCTAATTATAGTGCAGTATTAAATTGTATTTACTATTCCAAAACCTGTGTGTGACAACAGTGGATGTTTGTTTGGTGAAAAGGTTTTATGTTTTGAGGAGGTTTTCGGTTTTTAATCTGTCTTTAAAATGTACTAGTGCATGACATTAAGGATTTTGGGAGATGGCCCTGTGGGCCATCTAAGCTAATTTACAGATGGCCCTGAGCCCAATAGAGATTTCCCTGAAAAATGCGCGCGGACGAAATGACGCACGAAAGGTTTGGGGGGCCTCCCCCTAGAACATTTAGATTTTTGCAGGTCTTAGATGCTGTCTGGTGCATTCTCTAGACTGAATTATAAGATGAACCACCACAATATTATATTGTACAATTTCAATTGTATTCTTCATTTCGCTTGTTTGTTTGTTCTTGTTTGTGTTTGTGTTTGCTCGCTTGCATGCGCTGCATAGCTGTAAGAAATACTTAAGTTGTTGGTCAAGACACTTTCCATCTGATGAAGGCAAATGCCTTCCCAAATGTAAAAAAGTAGAAAACATTACATTCAGTTATAACTGCCAAAACAAACATTATTTACACTATTATGGCCCCTGTTAAAAATGTTTGTAATGTTATCTACTGTAAATTGGTCGAACGAATGCCTCCTCATCCGGAAGCTGACCGAGCAGCAGTCGAGAGGAGCCGAGCGCATCCGCGAAGCACACAAAATGGCGACGTCAGAGTTCCCGTTAGCCGGCAAATCTAAATCTCTTCGGTCAAAATGTCCGGTCAAAATAATTTCCCTTTAGCCCAATACCGCTTCAGTTGCGCCACTTATGTGACAGACATGAATAGTCAATTCTAATGTCTAACACTTAATGTGGAGAAAGAGATGTCCTGTGTGGGTTGATTGTGCGTTGATCTGTTGGTAATGCCTCGGGGTTCCGGTGGGCATGTAAACAAATGCATAATGCTGCGCTATACTTTGTGGCCTCACCCAGTTGCATAGCGACACTTATTGTTTAGGTGTCTTTTAATAAGCAGGTAGTCATATCATTAGCTAGAACTAGCTGGATCTGATCGATATGGACATCAACGCGAGTGAAGTCTAATCTGACGGGAGAGAGAGATCAGCTGCTGCTGACGAGTCGACACGCAGCTCTGCATGATCACATGCAGCGGTGAGCGGACAAAACACACACTTCAGGTTAGAATATCACACATAGCTATTTTAATTACCTCTCAAACTACCTGAACTAGTTATAGATATGTTTAGTTTTACTGTCGGGTCACTCATTACTGGATCCGCGAGCTGCATGATACTGGCATAATAGATTGCCCGATCGGGCAACCAGCAGGTGAGGCTTCATTGCCCGAGCTAAATACTAGATGGCCCCGGGCCATCGGGCAGTCCTTAATGTCGAGCCCTGCGCTGTACTCATGGGGAGTAGAACATGTTGTTTGCCATTAGATGCTGCCAAGTCACTTCTCAAAGTTTTATAGCATTTTTGCAGTGCTATCAGCTCCAGGAGAGTCTCAGCCTTTATGTCTGGTGTCTGTTTGAAGGTTCTGTGGATGATGTGTCTACAAATAATAGCAGATCACTACAACAGCTATAAATAACAGTAATAGCCCGGTAAGAGCCCAAAACAAGAGTTTAAGGAATATTTGGATAAAGTTAATGAGTGTACGACTGAGTCGCATCAAAGATGTTGCACGTGTTCCTTTCAACAATGTGTCTAATTTAGACACTAAGGATCGTTTACTCTTCCAGGCTGTAACTCCACAACAAGCGTAATAAAAACAGGTTTGCGGTTGGTCCCTACCTAGAAAGCCAGGGACACGATGCCCCAGGCGGTTCTCCTTCCCGCAGTTAGCTTGCTCTCTCAACACAGCAACCTGGAACCCTGTGGGGGAAAAAACACAATTGTACATTACAAACACAGCTTTCCAAAACTTCAGGCCTTTATTCTAAATTAACTGTGATACGCTGGGAAGAGAGACATTCCCAAAACAGTAACATATCATCCAGAGGGGAAAAACAATGATGGTTAATGTGTATTGAGCATCTGCAGAACTATTACCAGGTAATGTAATGCACATTCCAAGGTGTTCTCTGGTTTAATGTTTTGAAGAGCATTTAATGCATGCAATTGACAAACAACTGAACATCATTTGGTTTCACCTACAGGTAGCAACAAGATTTTGTAATTAAAAAAAATAGAAAAAAATAAGGTTCTTGTCATTCAGAATATTATTATAGCAAACAACTATTCGCTATGTTTAGAATGGAGAAAGTGATCCTCAGCAGAGAATGAAGTCAAACTCGCAGTTTGTGAAACAATCTGAGCTTCTCTGTGTCTTGTTTTGATAGACAAGCTTGGCTGTCCATGCATCATGTAAGGGCATGCGAGTCCCTGTGTGTTTCCCACTGGCTAGCTAATTGCTGCTCTTCTTCGCGGGCTCCGACAGCAGATAAAGCTGATAATGTGTCCCGACCCATGTGTCTTTGTTGCAGAAATGTAACTGCCACTATCCGGTTCTCCCTTAGGTTAATTTACGCTATTGGCTTTGTCAGGACTTTTGCCGACCTTTGCACTGTTAGCTCAGTTAGCACTGTAAATTGCTATATACTGGATTAGCCTTTGCTAAACTGAATCATAGATATGCTTTGCATTTTATATTGAGCCCTTAAATAGAAATGAGAAAACAGTCTGGAATTAAATCTGAAAACTATCAGCATCATTAAATAACCTACAGGGAAGTTCAGGTACCAACACCAAGTCTATGTGTACAAATGCAGATTTGTAGACATAATATTATCCTACTCGCATTAAAAAGGGTCAAATTCAGATTTAGATCTCCCTGTACAGTATCCAACGTCTCCTGAAGACTTGTGTTGATAATCCTGTTCCGCTCAGGACCAGTTTGTTTTATGTTTTATTGCCAGTAATTACTTGCGCTTAATAATTAGCAATGCCTTAAGCAAATGATCACGGTCTCATACCGAAATAGCTGCAGTATATGGAAGAACTGTCAGGTGATTCCTCCTGACTCAAATCCACTCACAAGGCTTGTTGTTTCTGTCCTTTTCCAATGCCAATGCCATAATATGATACATAAGGATGACAGGACTGTATTTACTGGAATATAGAGGACCCTCAGGGGGCCTCTAAGAGTCAGCATGACTTCACAGATATTTATAGAGTCCTCCAGCCCTTCCTAAAGCCACATTGTTGTCTCTCATTTGATTAGTCTGCTATTGTATTAATAAGCAAAGCTGGCTTTGGAGAGAAGAAACATGACGCAGCTGTTGTTTTTTTCTCCAAACTACAAGATTAAACATGACGATCATCAGAGTTCCTGAAAAGGAATTGTAAGTTGTCAGATATAATATCCGCCGAGTACATGTTTATCAAACCACAACAGAGTTAGAAACATGAACAGCTATGAGTTTAAGAGCATGTGATTCTATTATTAAGCACAGCTTTTATACAGGCCAATCACACATGTATTATGATATGACTACCTGTTGACACAATGAATGATTCATTTAGTTGAGTGTACTATGAACTGCCTTACTCCAAATCATCAACTGCTTTCAACCAACCGTCATAAATTCCTTTGAATTTGCAAATGGACCGTTGCCAGTGATTAAACAGCAGTGAGATTTGGGAAACAATTAACATTTGTTCTTTATTTTTTCTAAATAATTACATTCTGAATGATTACAGTAGCACCAAACCTCCAGGTGAAGGACGGCTGATATAAAAGAGTCACATTATGATATTACTGATAGTCAAAAGAGTCATGCATTAGACTCAACAGTAGCATAAACACACAGTCATGCTTCAAGTCCAATGCTTGCATGGTATGAGGGATGTTAAAGTGTCTCAATATTGTTTTGCTAAAAATATTATCTGTACACATTTCACATGTGAGCCTGAGCCTCTTGTAGCACTAGACACTTAACATGTATGAGGTAAAAGTATACAAATAAATATCTTCAGTACAGCTGAGAGTAGATATATTATCCTTTCCCTTTCTGTCCTCTTATTCAACACACCGACACAGAGGAAAAAGTGAACAATGAGCCATGACCTAATGACATAAGTCTATAATTCATGGAAGCATTTGAAGGAAAACGCGGTTTGTTTCCATCATGCTCTGAACTCAATGTGCTTTCTTTATCACTTCCCCTCCTACTCTTGGGGTATTATAGCCAAGCTTTGTTTCCCGTCAAAGGCCAATCAAGCTGTTTATCACTGTGACCACTGGCCTTACTAAGAATCTATGAGTATCTGCCCTTCCTCTGGGGTCGGGACAGCCATGGTATAAGAGCCCACCATAACTGATAATATCATCAATTTAACAATTACATCTTAACAAATAGCCTAAAAAGAAAACGAGCATCAAAAAGGTATTCATAAAAGAGCTCATATAGCAAGGCAACAACAACTGCAACTGAAATAATAGGCAGGGTGAAAAAAACAACAGGAAGACAGAATTAAATGGTTTCTTGCTTCTAAAACTTTAAATTCAGTTCAAGCTTAAAGAGGAATTAATCAACTGGGAAAACTCACCTATAGATTGAGGAAACATCCACACCTCTTACAAATAATCCAGGGCACTATCCTCAAAATGCATTGTAGTCAGTCAGGTATGTTTTGAGATGACATACACACACTCACAACCAAGTGAGAAGAATTGCTGATCCTACAGGCTATACGACCAATGCAGAGGACAGGGGAGTTACAGGGATGAGATCAGGGAGCTGAAGAGGACGGGAAAACAGATCTAGGAGTCTGTATGTGAGCTCCACTCCAGCGAAAGAAATCGAGAGAAAGAGCTGGGAAAACAGCAATAATCCTACAGATCAAAAGTTTTAAGTCAGGCCACATGCTCTTGGATTAAAAAGGGGCATTGGTTACAGTCTATGAAAAACAGCTGATACCAATTTGAGAAAGATTAAAACACCCTGGGTGAGAAATATTATTTCTACATAGAGGTAATAGGTTGAACTATTCATAGTTTCCTTATTATTAAACGAAGTTGCTAATGTCAGGTCTTCAGCAAAAACTAGGTGAAAGTTCAGATTAAGTTTATAACAATCATACATTTGAGTGTTGTATGTGACACCTACTCTGATTGAGCTGGTGTCTTATTTCTCTTTTCTTGCCCCTCATGCTATAATCATGTGTATTTTCTCCATTCCTGTTCATGTGTCTTCTCGCAATTATCACTGGCCCGTGTATCTCCTAATCGCTATAACCGGCCTGCTCTCATCTATCCCACGTGCTCCACTGAGATCCAATATCTAGTTTCAGGTGGCCTGTGGAATTGCCAGTCAGCTGTTCCTAAGGCTGACTTCATCTCTGGCTACGCCTCCCTGCAGTCTCTGGATTTCCTTGCTCTCACTGAGACCTGGATTACTCCATTCAACACATCCACCCCAGCAGCTCTCTCCACAGCATATTCCTTCTCCCATACACCCAGACCCACTGGCAGAGGAGGTGGCACTGGTCTCCTGCTCTCTCCCAAATGGAGCTTTTCCCTCTTCAAGCTACCCAACTTCACTCCTTCCACCTTTGAATTCCATGCCGTCACAGTAACCCATCCTATACAATTAACCATTGTTGTTCTCTACCGTCCACCAGGCGCCTTGGGGGACTTCTTGGAGGAATTAGATAATCTCCTCTCACACATCCCTGAAACTGGCCCTCCCGCTGTACTTCTCGGAGACTTCAACCTCCAGACGGGGAAGATAGACAAACTAACATCTCTGTTAACCGCCTTTGCTTTCTCACTGTCTCCATCCCCACCAACTCATAAAGCTGGCAATGTCCTTGATCTCATATTCTCAAGGAACTGCGCTACTTCTAACCTCTATGTAAACCCACTCCACACTTCTTCATTTCATTCTCTCTACCCCTTTCCAAACTAATCTCTTCTCATCCTGCACCTGTCCGCCGTAACCTTCGTTCCCTCTCCCCCTTTGCCTCATCGGTGCTCTCAGCCCTCCCTTCCTCGGACTCGTTCCAACTACTACCTCCAAACTCTGCTGCAGAAACTCTCCTCTCTACTCTCTCATCCACTCTGGACTCTCTCTGTCCTCTCACATCTCGGCAGGCTCGTCAGTCCCCTCCTGCTCCCTGGCTAAATGATGCACTGCGTGCTAATAGAACCGTCCTTAGGGCAGCAGAGCGGAAACGGTGGAAATCCAAACACTGTGACGACCTCCTAACCTATCAGGCTCTCCTCTCCTCTTTCTCTGCTTCAATCTCTCAGGCAAAAAGCACTTTCTTTCAAGATAAGATCCAATCTTCCTATTCCAATCCTAAAAAACTATTTTCCATCTTCTCCACCCTCTTGGACCCTCCAAAAGCTCCTCCCCCCTCCTCACTTCTGTTAAGCGACTTTGTTACCCACTTTGAAAAAAAGGTTGATGATATTCGCTCTTCTTTTTCTGACTCACCTTTACTCACCGCTGGGTCACCAGACCCTCCTTCCACCAACACACTAACCTCCTTTTCCCCTCTCTCTCCAAGTGAGGTTCTTACCCTCATTACCTCTGCCCCGCCCTACCACCTGTCCTCTGGACCCTATCCCTTCAAACCTCCTTCAGACTATCGCTCCTGATATTCTACCGTTTCTCACCCATTTCATCAACACTTCTCTAACTTCTGGTCACTTTCCAAACAGTCTCAAGGAGGCAAGAGTAAACCCTCTCCTAAAGAAACCCACTCTCAACCCGTCTGATGTTATAAACTACAGGCCTGTCTCTCTCCTCCCGTTCCTGTCTAAATCACTTGAACGCGCTGTCTTTAAACAACTCTCCTGTTATCTCAATCAGAACAACCTTCTGGATCCGCACCAGTCTGGTTTCAAGGCAGGTCACTCCACAGAA